CCTGTTACCTGGGAGGCTGAGGCAGGAGAATTGCTTGAACCCAGGAGGCAGAGGTTACAGTGAGCCGAGATCCCACCATTGCACTCCAGCCTGGGTGACAGAGCAAGACTTCATCTCAGAAAAAAAAAAAGAAAAGAAAAGAAAATAGACTTGCTGGCGGCTTTATTTTATGGATCTATTATAATTTACTTAACCAATCTCATGTGTTAGCTATTTTGGCTGTTTCTGTGATAGTTTCTTCTTTTATCAAATTAGACAAATTTGTGTCTAATTTGCGTGGCTGATTTGTGGCGTGGACATTCACCGCCTGGGTACTTGTAATCTCTGCAAGTGTCTAACTTCCTGCCTCCGTCTATTCTGCCTTGAAAGTTTAACGGATTGTGTGGATTCTTCTTCAATTTTCCCATTTTTCTCACACTGCTTTTTCCAATTTTAATTGAGTAAGAGACAGTTTTGGAGTAGGTGGGACACCATCATGTGTGTGTGTGTGTGTGTATATATTTATATATATATATATATATATATATTTTTTTTAATTCTTTTTTTGAGACAGAGTTTCACTCTGTCCCCAGGCTGGAGTGCAGTGGCACGCTCTTGGCTCGCTGCAACCTCCACCTCCTGGGTTCAAGCAGTTCTCCTGCCTCAGCCTCCCGAGTAGCTGGGATTACAGGCACATGCCACCACACCGAGCTAATTTTTGTATTTTTAGTAGAGATGGGGTCTTACCATGTTGGCCAGGATGGTCTCAACCAACATGATCCGCCCGTCGTGGCCTCCCAAAGTGCTGGGATTACAGGCTTGAGCCACTGTGCCCGGCCCTGAAGCCACCTCTTCACCCAGCCCCACCTGCACAAGCGGCAGCTCCAGGCTTTTTACTTGGGAGAACGTGGTCTCATTGGCTGTGCTGCCCAAGGCGGAATCTGGGAATGATACTGGACTCTTCCCTTTTCTGACACCCATGTCCAGGGGCATGAATCCTGGTGGTTCTCTGACTGCCCTGTAGCTCACCTGCAGACCCCACAGCTGTGTGTACCCCGACGGTGGCTGCCCTCCGACTCCCTCCCTGCAGTCCAGCCCTGCCCCTGGGCAGGTGCCCGCTCTGCAGAGCTGGGATGGCTTTTCCAAATTGTAGGGCCCAATATCCTATTTCTCTGCTTAAAATCTTTCAGTGGGGGCCGGGTGCAGTGGCTCACGCCTGTAATCCCAGCACTTTGGGAGGCCGAGGCGGGTGGATCACGAGGTCAAGAGATCGAGACCATCCTGGTCAACATGGTGAAACCCCGTCTCT